CTGTTTTCAGACATTTCCTGAATTTTCATTTGAATTATCTGATAGAAAGATCACATTAAAGTGGGCTCACCCTCCCACTGGAATCTTAAGGAGACAAAAAAAATGAGAAATGGAGTTGCTTCCTAGAAGTAGTTTTCTGGCTTTAGAGGCAAACTCTGAACTAATGAATCCAGTCCAGACCCCTCCACTGGAGACCTGAGGCCTATTCTGGGGCAAGACATCCACACCAGAGCATGAGATGCACAGGTAAAGAAGGTGGATAATAGATGCTCATGATCCTAGGCCACCCAGGCCCCTCCTGTTCACTAGACAAATACAAATAAAACAAATTTATCACTCTAGAGACCTCACAGAAGATTCTGACTGACACCAAGAACTATTCCATCTTCTGTAGGTGTTCTCATGCCACACCTCCAGACTTCAACCTTTAGGACTAACAAAATGTTTATTAGATCACTAAATAGTTTTATTATTTACTTAAGTCTGCCATACCACAACAATTCAAGGCTGCATGTAAAGCAACATCTGATGAAAAAGGGGAAAATGAATAGTTTTGAGAAAATACAGCAAAGGATGAAGATAAAAGAAAAATTGGGAAACTGGAGTAAAGGGGCACAGATTCCAATACTATGACTGTTGAGGGGGTTGCACATTTGTTCTGAACTCCCCAGTGGACAAAGCAAAGAAAGAATAGACTCAGTTGCCTAATGAACAGTATGTCTAAGATTTTTTAATGCTTCTCAAATGAAGCATGACTTTTCCTCATGCTGAGAAATGAGAGACTTTTCCCTTGAATCCTCACAAAAAGAATACTGGATCAGTTAGGATAAGGTTCCATTGTGACCTTATCCTAACCCTCAAAATGACAGGGGCTTAAATAAATAGTTTACTGTCTCTCTGAAGTCAATTTTCAGGACTATGGCTTTCTTTTTTAACCAGGAATTGAACCCCCAGGGGTGCTTAACCACTGAGCCAGCCCTTTTTATTCTTCATTTTGAAACAGAGTCTTACTAAGTAGCTTAGGACCTCACTAAGTTGCTGAGGCTGGCTTTGAACTTGTGATCCTCTTGCCTCCACCTCATGGTCCAAGATGGTTGCTCATTCACTGGCCAAAATGTCCCCATTCCAGCTAACAAAAAGGAGGAAGTAAGGACAGAACTGATCCTTTAAAGGAAGTTATGGAGGATACTGATTACATCCATTGGCCAGAACTTAATCACATATCCACAGCTTCACCTGGGAAGGCTGAGAAGCAAAGTCTGTCTTCCGGGCCTCAGTAGAGGTGGACTTTCTGCTTACCAAGCAGAAGGACAGTAGATTTGATTGCTCATGGCGGCCATAACAGAATACCACAGACTAAATAGTTTCAACAACACAGTTTCATTTTCTCACAATCAGGAGGCTGGAAGTCCAAGGTCAAGTTGCTGGGAGGACATGTTTCCTCTGAAGCTCTCTTCTTGGCTTGCAGATGCTGGTTTTCTTGCTGTGTCCTCCTCTTCATGTGGCCTTTCCTCATGTATACATACCCCAGATGTCTCTGTGTGTCCTAATCTCCTCTTCTTATAAAGACATCTGGTCTACACCCTCATTTAAATTTAGCCACCTCTTAAGACCTTATCTTCAAATACAGTTCTGAGGTACTGGAGGTTAGGGTTTCAACACATGAATTTGAATGGGGGACACAATTCAATTCATAGCAGACAGAAATAGATATTGGAGAACAATCCAAAGTATACTGCCTCATTTCCTGCCAGCAACCCTGTACTTATCAGTAATAAATTCTTAGGGGTTATATGTTTTTTTTTCTCCCCCTTCTAAATGCAAGACTCCTTAAAAGCAAGACTCCTGGAATTTGGCACACTGCTTTGCACCTAAATTCGTTTAGTGAAAGCTGACAGGTGATGTCAATAACTGCCCAAGAAACCACAGCCTGAGCAGAAACAGGAGTCCTGACTCTCTACCACCTGCTCTTCCCATCATGCTATAAGACCTGACAACAGCACAACACCCACCACGTGGGAATAAAAGGCCATGTGGTTTCATCTCAGATTTTCCATATCAGAGGTTACAAGGCCCTATAGCCATCATCACTGGCTCTGATTTTGCATAATTCTAGAGCTTCTGCAGAGATCCCAGCAGATATCAAACTATTTTAATCCCTTATATCAAAAGTCACTTGAATTTCTTCTGGATTGCAGTGGTATCCCTCTCCAGTTTGCTTTGTTTTGTTTTGGGGGACACTCTGCCAAAGCTAAAGGAAGTAAGACTGGGTCATCACAAGGTCAAAGCCCACAGGCTAGAACTCTGGGAAAAGCCAGAAAATCACTGATGAAACCTCAGTGGACTCCTCCACCAAGGGCTGAGACCAAGACCATGCTGGCATTGCAGGCTGGGCAAAGCAAAACAGGCCCCAAACTTAGTGTTTTTCTTCTACTTCTCCAGCCAGCTTGCAAGCTGTCACCCATGGAGCCAGAGTGAGGTTTCATTTGGCAAGAAGATGAAGACAATGTCTCCTAAAGGGTGCTCACAGCCTTGCTCCAGGGACACCTCCTCAGTCCACCATGGGATTCTAGGCATCTGCATCTCCCTGAAGCAGGTCTTGGTCCCCAAGAGGCTCACAGAAAGCTGTTTGCATGGCCTGAGGCACAGTCTCTTCTAGTTCATTTCTGCCCTAGTGATAGCCACCTCAAATGCAGTTTTTGGAAACTGTACAATATAGCTAATTGTTTGCATTGGACAGTAGTGTGTTTAGAGCTTATGCATCTAAACAGACAATTATTTTCTACTATTTTCTAGTGGCACTGCCTGCCTGGTGACTTTGGCAGATGGAGAAAGAAGCTAATCCGTAGGTTATAAGCAGAAGGGTTATTGATGAAATGTCACCATCTGTTGGTGTCATTAAAATGATATGAGTCATAAAGAGTTGCTTTTGTATTTTCTCAAAAAAAAAAAAAAAAAAAAAAGGTTAGCCTGGAGTTTAAAGAGAAGTTGCTAGATTGTGGATGGCAGTGGGGACAGGATGGGGAGAGGGAGGCCACCCAGGAAGGGGGAGGAGCTTGATGAACTCATCAGATCAGCTTGATGGGTCTTTAGGGCAGCCAATCCTCTGCTGGAGTAAAACCAGACAGGGCACTTATTAGGAAGGATGCATTTTCCCATGCTCATTTCTGGGGCATCTACCAGGGAAAAGGGGAAGGTCATTTATTTGGGTTAAGCCAGAAAGATCATATCTACATGGGACCAGTTAAAACCCACTGGTCTCCTATCCTAAACCCTCATTAATCCTGTGACACCCAGATTATTCTTGTAGCAAGCTGATGCCTTGAAGGATTTCACCTACCTGCTACATCTCCTCCGAGAGAATGGAGATTACAAGGAATAGGGTCAAGAGCCAGCACCCCAAAAATTCCATCAGGGATGGGAAGTCCTTGAATGGAGTAAAGACAACAGTGAATGGACCAGTAGTGAATTGCATTAGCAAAAGGATAGAGGGTCTGAAGTGTGTTAATGAGGATCAGGTGACCAAAATGCACACTGTTCCAATTCAACTTGTTTACCTAATCCCCATAACACTTTCACATTTGCAGTTTGCAGAATCTTTAACCCACAGCCAAGGTCACACACCAAAGCAGAAGAACTCTTTTTCATCAGGGCTTCAGATTCCTTTATTATCATTATTATTATTATTAATTTTAACGTCCAGAGAGAGATGAAATGGGGGTGATTGTGTAAATCACTCTGAAGCCTTTGGGACTCCCTGGCATTTGACAAATAAATAAATGTAACCTCTCATACCACAAACTGGACCTCCCACCCAGCCCTGACCTCTAGTTGAGTCCTAAGCCATCTGGCTGGAGCCTGCCCCACCTGCCACCCCCTTAGGGCCACAAATGCTGTAAGGTCACTACTACTGCTTGGATATTTTGTGATGCTGGAAGCGGGGCCACAGAGGGCAGGGGCTCTGTGAAGCCTGTGCAGGCTGTTTCTCTGGTCTCAAAAGGAAGCCTCAGTGGAAAAGTTCCTGCTGATATTTTTAGATCTAATGCTTGGTCCTACTGCTGCACTTTCATTTTTAAACAAGCGGGGAAGGGAGTGATGGATGGTGTCTGCAGTGCTGTTTTGGAGGCTCTGGGGCCCATCTGACAGGCTAATGGTCATCCTGCCGGGCGGATCTGCCTTTCATCTCTTCCAGCTCTGGGACTGCGGAAGCTGCTGACTGCAGTGGCTGCTGGCTGGCAAGTCAAACACTGGCTGTGCTCCCAAATCAGAGTGGGACCTTTACTGCCTGGCTCTGAGGCCCTGTGCAGGCCCAACGGCTTGCTTGACTTCTACCCTCTATTTCTCTGGGGCAGGAGGCATGTATCTGCACAATAAGCCTTTGGCTGCAAGTGAAATCATTTAGAATTCAACAGGTGATTAAGCAGGTTAACACACACAAGAATCACTGAGTTTAAGCAATCCTGGGCCAGCAGGAGGGATTTGAACCCCCTCAGTGTTATTACTGAACTGTTTCTTCAGTGACTTTCATGTGTCTGCCAAAAATTAGCACAAGGAAAAAAAAAAGGAGTTTTAATTTTTATCAGTGTTTTTCCTTCCAAGGATTCAGAATCCCCTGGCATAGCCCTCAAGGAGATGGGAAATGAGAGATAGAGGTTGTTGGTCTGTTGCTCTGCAAATATTTCTCATAAAAAAAGTTCCTGAACTGAAGCTGTAGCCCATGTTGAATAATCAGTTGACAAAAGTGAGAAGCTGAGGAATGTTTGAGGAGAAAAAAAAAGTTCTTAAATGCTCCTGGTTGAGTGATTTACTGTTTGTTCCTAGGACTCAGATTGGCACACAGGGTTCTCTTACAAACACAAAAAGTACGTGTATGAAGCAGCTGGGGCAGCTCAGGAAAAGTCCTAATGAGGTCTGGAACTTCCCTCCCTCACTGTGGACGTCTTTCTGTGGCCTGTGTCACTGTCCTCGTTGTTGCTTACATTTTATATCTCCTTCTACAGCAGACCACAGAGACAGCTGAGGAGGACGACGACCAGCCCCTGAGCCTTGCCTGGCCTTCCGAAACCCGCAAGCAGGTCACCTTCCTGATCGTCTTCCCCATAGTGTTTCCACTTTGGATTACCTTACCTGACGTTCGCAAACCTGTGAGTAAAGTATTTTTTTTTTTAAAAAAGTCCCTGGTCATAAGGAAGAGGAGAGGTGATGCAGATAAATGTGAATTCTTACATAGACCTGACATTTCTCTGGACAAGAAATGTGCAGAGACTGTTCAGATTACCAGACCTGCATAACCAACCACCCCGGAACTTATGAAACAAATACCATGTTGTTCGGCTCATGGACCCTGTGGATCAGGAATTGGAGTAGGACACACTGGAGAATGGTTGCCTCTGTGCCACAGTGTCTGGACCCTTAGCTGGGAAGGCTTGAGTGGCTGAGGTGACTCATAGCTGGGAGCTACAGTCACCTGGAGGCAAATTAGCTGATGTTTCTGGCACCTGGGCTGGGATGATTAAAAAACCAGGTTCAGCTGGGGTTGTTGACTGGCATGCCTCAACGTGGCCTCTTCATGTGACTTGGGCTTCCCCACAGCATGGAGGCTTCGGGATAGTCAAATATCTTACATAAGAGGTCAGTGCTCCAAGAGTGAGTGTTCCAGAAGCAAAAGGCAGCTTTGTGGTCTTTGATGTCCTAGTCTCAGAAGTTATATAGTAACTATACTCTACTGGCCAAAGCAGTCATCCTGTGGCGATTAAAGGGGTGGAGATTAAAAAAAAAAAAAAAAGTTTACCTAGAATATATCAGTCACATATAGCATATGACACTCTTGATAAGAGTGTCAAAGACCTTGCAACCATATTTTAAAATCACCATAGTGATTGCTTCTGAGAAGCACACCTATAGGTCTGGACAGAAGGGTGATTCACTTTTCCTAGAATTTTCTTTTGGCTATATACATGGACTATTCACTTAACTCAAAAAATAATTTAGAGAAATGCATTTGTGTAGTTAAAATGCCTTCATGTGTGATCCTCCCCATCCTTTATTATTATCATTTCTATAATCAAGATGATCTACCAGATACAGGGTGCTGTGAACACAACACTATCTTATGGTCAGCAAAGTACAATCTGAGTTCCTGGCCAATTAATGGTTCCTGGCCATTAGTGCATGTCCTAGAGGTGAAAGAACTAATGAGAAGTAAAGGAGAAACAGCTCTACTCTCTTTCATGACACTTCACACATATCCACTCAAGAAAAGCATATGCATGCAGCAGATTCTGCACTAGGTATTTTTAGTAAGTTATATTGTGGAATCTCAGAAAACCTCTAGGGTGGATATATATATATATATATATATATATATATATATATATATATATGAGAGAGAGAAAGTGACTTACCCCTACCCACTTTCTAGAGGATAGAACTGAGCTTCAGACCAAGGTCTGTGTGAACACATGACTTCTCTTCATATATCATGACATCAGAAAGTGGGAATCAGGGAAAAAAAATCATTTCTAAATTCATTTGGAATAGAATACTGTGGTAACATCAAGCATAATTTAGCATAAATCTTCAGGAGTCCCTTGATGATCCTACTTTCCTCATTTAAAGGAGAAAAAAAAAGGAGAAAAATCCCATCTCATTAGCTTGGATTAGCCAGGTGAGGTGGCACACACCTGTAATCCCAGCAGCTTGGGAGGCTGAGGCAGGAGGATCGTGAGTTCAAAGCCAGCTTCGACAATGGTGAGGTACTATGTAACTAAGTGAGACCCTGTCTCTAAATAAAATACAAAATAGGGCTGGGGATGTGGCTCAGTGGTTGAGTGTCCCGAGTTCAATCCCCAGTACCAAAAAAAAAAAAAAATCATTAGCCTGGACTTTAAATAACCCAGCCTGATAGAAAGCCATGTCTTATGCAGTATACACCAGGAAAGGATCCCCTTGTGGAAGAACTCAAAACCCAAATATTAAGGTGGCATTTAGGTTTCCTTATGCAAAACACAACTGCAGAGCATCTATCCTACGCAAAGGCCTGGCTTCCTGAAAACACAATCAAATAATTAGAGATGTTTGGGATTTGTTTTTTTTGTTTTTTGTTTGTTTGTTTGTTTTGTGTATATGGCTTTTTGGGTTTGTTTTTTTTTTATGTTTTTTTGAGGGAGTTGTTTTTTGTTTTGCCCTTGGTTTACATCACACTGATATTTTTTAAATCAGTCTCTCTCTCTCTCTCTCTCTCTCTCTCTCTCTCTCTCTCTCTCTCTCTCTCTCTCTCTCTCTCTCTCTCTCTCTCTCTCTCTCTCTCCATTTCTATGCTGTTCCAGAACTTCTGTTTGCCCCAGGGAGGGAAATCAGGGAGATAGCTATGGTTTTCTAAATCCCTCCAGATGGCCCAGTGTGCCATGGCCCTCACAGGAGAGAGGGCTGACTGGCTAAGAGGGTGTCAGCGCAAACCACAGAGGCAACCAGGAAGCTGTGTGGGAACAGGAAGAAGATGCCAATAACCGCAGGCCCTGGGCTCTCAGGGTTGGGCGGGACTCCTAGAGCAAAGGCAGGCAAAATGTTCATCCTGTATTGTGCCAAAGGGTCAAGGAAGCTTGTGAGAGAACATCAAAAACTCCCCAATAACAACTCCTGGAAAACAAACCAGAATTAACCAAGGCAGCAGTCACCTGGATCGTGACAATCGCTGTGGCCAATGCTGTGATACTGTGGAGAACGATCCAGGAAAATGGTGCACTGCTCTGCACCACAAACTTGTCCTTCCCTGTGCAGCCCACACTTGAGGGCCAGTCCCTGTCCCCTGGGCTCAGGTGGCCAATGGGCTTCTCCTCATTGTTCCCCAAGTGCCAACCATGGACCAACTAGAATGTTTGTGTGTTTTTCTGAGTATACATATTATGTGTTATTCCAAGCAGGAATAAGATTTTTATGAGGAATATTTGGTTGTTTTAAAACTTTTGCAGCAAATATTTGTTGAATACCTGTTATATTCTGAGCACTGGGCTTGGCCCTTTGAGAGATAGAAAGACACAAAATTCACAATTTCTATCTTTAAGGAACTCTAAGTTCAGTAGAAGAAACAAGGCATGCTCATATGCAGCTAATTACAAGGCAAGATTATTTCACTGCATTAGTAAAAGGAGCTGGACTTGTACCCAGGTCTCCTGACTGCCACATTCTACAGTGGGTGTTCCCTGTGTGTAGCCTTACAAAAGGCACTTTTCAACTCTGTCCATATTTTTCCTTTACTGTGAATAAAGGGTTGGAAAAATCTCAAGGCAAAATGTTAGCCAAACAGTCTGTGATTAAGGACAGCACAAATACAAAGATAACCATTGGTAAAATATTGCAAATTTAAGGTAACCTTATATCCCAAATTTCCCAGGATAGTCCCAGTTTATTGTCAAAACATACTGGTTTGGAAGTAGATTATTCTATATAACATGATATGCCAAGTGAAAGAAACCATGCCCGTTGATACAAAGGCCATTAAGATGCCTCTTGATCATGCTAGTGCAGAAGAGTCTTGTTAGATTTGATTGTTTATCACTTTCCTTCGGTGTATAACACAACACCCCAACCTTAAAACCACAAGCAATTTTAACCCACAATACTGAACTGGCAGATTGGTTTGGGCTCAGCTAGTCAGTTCTTCTGCTGCTGCCTGCTGGTTAGCATGAGAGTATTTGAGCAGGAAGTATATCCCTGCTCCATGTGGCCTCTAATCCTTGATCAGGCCAGCCTGGACTTAATCACAGGATGGTAAAGTGCCAAGAGCAGCAAGAATAAAAGCTTCAAAGCCCTTTTGAGATCTAGTTTGGAATTTACACACTGTTATTGGCACCATATTTTACTGATCAAAGCAAGTCATAAAGCCAGGCCAGACTCTAAGAGTGAGGAGATAGACCTGTCCTCCTGATGAGAGGAGCAGCCAAGTCTTGCGGTCATTTATGCAGTCCTACCATAGGCCTCAAATGCTTCCACAAAGAGATCCTGAGAAAATGTCCATGGACAGCAATAAGAGGAGAAACTTAAGAAGAGATATTTGGCAATCCTGAGGCCTGGCAGCTCTGCCTTTTCAGTGGTTTTTTTAATTACTCCTAGAGATAAGCATCCCAAACCTTAACAATAATTACAAGGAAAACATGATTGTATACTTCTAGTTTCAGTGTAAATAGTACTCCCACTTGTCTTTATTTCCACTTCATTTATATGCAAATTACCTGACAGTGTTTATTGGATCACGTACACATTCAGCTCACATAATTAATATGAGCTTCACATTTATAGTTTTCTTAAATTAGTGACTTTGTTTTAAAAGTAAAACAACTAAAATGTAAACTTTAATATGAACATATTTTTGGTGAAAAGTTGAAAATAAAAAGCAAAATAAAGACTCCCGAATTTCTCTTTTCTCATGGCCTAGCATGGATGTTCTTAGGAATGCATCTCATGATTTATGAAAACAGAATACACTACAGCTGAAAAGGAATCTGAGAACACAGCTAGATATTTGCAATGTCTATCATTTATTCAGTTGCCAGGTATTTATTGAATGCCTACTATGAGCCAACCACAGCTATAGCAAGAATGAAGTGATTGAGACCCAGAGAGGTTTAGTCAGCTTGTCCAAACACAATCAACCAAGTAAGAGGCAAAGCCAAGACTCTAGATCAGGTCTCCACAGTCACTGACACCTCCCCAAGTGTCAGTTTCCTCATTCCTTAAAAAATAAAATGAAGCTTTATAAATCTAATAACTGCTACAATTATTATGTGCCCGTCACTTTGCTAGACATTTTATGTATGTAAAATCTTCAGAACAACTAGATTTTTATATTTCTACCATTTTAAAAATAAAGAAATAAAAGCTTAAGAGGATTAAGTAATTGGTCTCAGGACACATCACTGGTAATTTGTGAGAAGAGATTTCAGAACCCAGTCATATTAATCCAGGGGCCACACTTTTAATCTTAATGGGATTTTTGTGGGGAACTTTGTTAAATATGTATATTCCAAGCTGGGTGTGGTAGATTACAGGCCCATAACCCCAGCTACTCAGGAAGCTGAGGCAGGAGAATCACTAGTTCAAGGTCAGTCTGGGCAACATAGCAAGACCCCCATTCACTCTTCCCAACCCCCACAAGGAAAAAACATATACTTTGGAACCTTGCACAGAGTAGATGCTGAATGAATGTTTGTTGAATTTAAATAGGTATGAATATGGCCAATTTATGCAGCCAGCTAATGTCCAGCAACTTTTTTCAAGCCAAGCTAATACCACTCTGGTGTACTAAAAGCTTCTAATGAGAACATTCACTGTCATTTGTATAAGTAAACCATTACATTGGAAACAGAATAGGCAGCACATGGACATAATTTGCTTATTTGCTAATTAGTACAAGGCCTATCCCAACAGATGTCAGGATGAGACTAAACATACATTGATGTGTTAGACTTTGGCTTGAAGGGATATTTTCTCCCTTCCGATGAGACTGGTAACTAAACAGCTTCACAGGTGCTACAGGGAAGTGCTGTCTGGAATGAAGTCATAGAGTCCAAAGAAAGGGAACGGTCCATAAAAATATGAAAGAGGAAGGAATGTCTGGGTTGTAAGATTGGGCACGGCAAGGTAGTTTGACAGGGAAACACTTAGGCAAACTGCTGATGCGTGAAGGGTCACAAAACTTCTGAAGCAGGAACAATATGGGAGGTTGGAGAGGCAGATGGCCATACAGCTGGAATGCTAGTCTCTGTTTCCCTGATGCTTTTTTTATTTTCCGACATTCAGAGCAGAGCCTAGTATTATGATGATCATCATCATTATGTCTATAGCTGGGTGTATTTTGAGCACGATTGGTTTTTCTTTAGAAAAGAATCAGTGTAACATACATGTTAGGAATACATGCAGTGTAGTCAGGCAGACCAAGTTTGAATTTTATCATTAGTTGGAGATCTAGGTGCAAAGTAAGTGCCCATCCTTTACTTACCCTTAGTTTATTATGAAGACCCTGAAAATTCACACATTTGATTTTAAACCTTTTTTAATGATGCCCTAATATAATATTAGGTACTTTCTGTTACCCATTAATTACTAATTGGTTTCTTGATTAATAATCACAGCATTAAATATTGAATGAGAGAAGTTCTTTTTTATATACATACCCAAAACACTGTCTAGACCATGAAGAAGAGATGAAAGTGACTTCACCTCAATTTACAATGGCCCAATTTTGTTTTATCCCATATGTATTGAATGAGAGAAGTTCTAACAGATTTGTTTCAATTTAGTTTCATTAAGTTCTTAGAGGGATATCTTGCTTTCTACCTTTTGCCTGGGATTATTCTGTAGTTCAGTGATGCCATTTTTCAGATGAGAAATCAATTCAAGTGATTTGATTCTGACTTGTGAAGTCACTTCAATGAGCAGAAGTGCAAAGGTAAAAAAAAATTAAATACGAAAATGAATACCAATTACACATTTAGTAAGTGAGCCAAATGAAAAGTGAGCAATCTATGAAATGAAGACTCTCCCAGGACATGCAGCACAGACGCTAAACCTTAAAGTAGGGAGAAGCTCTTCATTTCCCTCATGCAATGGTCAGAATCAAGCACTGTTTAATGCTTAAATCATGTGTGGCCCCACATGGCAAGAAGGGCCCTTCTGTTCCCTGTAACACAGGAGGACCCCGGATCAGAAACTTTGCAATACATAGAACCCTGAGACAGTGACTCATGACCAGATGGAAGAGGTGGGAGGTCCAATCAGCTAGATGCCTTGTTGGGAAAACTTGATCTCTTAGCCCAAGCTCAGGAAATTTGCTCTCCAGAATCCAGCTGTATTCCCAGCTTTAAAGAAATTTACCTTCAGAAATGAAGCTCTCATCAGGCATGATGGCACATGCCTGTAATCCCAGAAGCTCAGGAGACTGAGGCAGGAGGATCACAAGTTCAAAACCAGCCTCAGCAAAACCAAGGCACTAAGCAACTCAGTGAGACCCTGTCTCTAAATAAATACAAAATAGGGCTGTGTCTCAGTCTCCTTTAAAAAATATTTTTCCCCCATTATCCATAGAAGTGTTCCCAGGGACCTGAGTCCTTGCCCAAAATATTTTCCTTCTAAGAAATGGAAGGAACAAGGGAAGCACTTAAGGGGAAGGTTTTGGTTACTCGCTGTGGCCTGATGTCCTCCCACAATTTAATCAAGTCCTCTTGATCTTTCAGACATCCCAGGTAATGAATGGTCCAAAAAAGCAGCAGTCATTTAGAGAGAAAAACAATGATTATAAAATTTAAGGACTATGTGAGTGATAACAACATTTACTGAAAACTTGAAATTAATAGAGAACATAAACCTAGTTTGGAGCAATGGAGACTATTGGAGGGAGATACATGAAAAGGGAGGAACATGGAATGAAATTGACTAGGGGGAGAGACAAGGGAAGGAAACCAGGTAGTACTGAGGACTGCAGTGGAGCAGAGGGTGTTTAAGCATATATATTCCAGGCATGTATGATTATATCAAAATGAACCCTGCTATCATGTATAACTATAATGCAATAATTAAAACATTTTTTAAAAAAACCCATGGCAGAAAATGTTCTTTGTAACCACCCCAGGCCAGCCCTTCAGACAATTGAGTTACTTTTATCCAGGTCAACTCCAGGATTTGTTTTCTCTGGACAAAGCTAGATGACATTATCAAAGTGAAAAAAAAAGGAGGGGATTTTTTCTCAATATGGAAAGCTTTGAAATATATAAAAGTATTTTTATATATAAAAAGTATTTGATAATAATAGGTGAGAGACTTTCAGACAGCTTCCTGCTGTCTGAGCATGTTTTGAGAGATTCCAAATATTCCACAAAGGGCATCTACAGAACAGTTCAGTGCAAGCCTGGACGTCTATGTGGTGAGGCCAGGTATGAAACACTGCATTTGGGTATCTAATTTTTTATTGATGATCCTAGAAAACTTTCAAAGTGCTCAAAATAGAAGCCTGAGATTGTACAAAGTTCAAGGCAAGAAGCAGAACTAGACATAATATAGCTTGGGGTGAGAAAAAAACACTCCCAACAACAAGGTCTGACCTGCCCCTGCCCACCAGTGGAGATCAGCCCAGTTGGGCATCTCCACCTCTGTCCTCTCCAGCGGACACATGGAGTCCCATGTCTGGGAAACTGGCCATCACCAGGAATTTATATAAACTACTGTAGTGCCTCCTGGATGGCTTTCCTGATAATAAATGCGGACTGTAAGATGATCCAGTCTATTTTTAAACATACTAAGTCTTCCCATTTCTTGTTTAATGTAATTAATTGCATAGGTTTTCTGGCATATGGATTATTAGAATTCAACATTTGTAAGCAGTAGAAATTTATTCTGATGAACTTGTGAGCAATCTAAAAAGAGGGAAGGAGATGGAGGGAGAATATGATGTAGTTAACAGACGGAAGGAGAGACTGAGAAACCAGGCCTAAGACAGGGCAGGAGGAGAGGGTGTTTAAACATCTAACTGCAGGAACTAACACATATTCTTTTTAAGAGAGTTCCAACCCAGGAACCAGCATTGCAATCATTCCACTTCCACCAATTTCACATTTCCAAGAGAGAATTTTATGCAACTTGATGAGAGAGAGTTCAGGCCTTTTGACTGCCAGTCTTACCAAAATGCAGGAAATGTGGGGACAGTGTTTGCACAGGTGGTTTTAGCGTTAGACTGTCAAGTTCATCACAACTGGTAGCTCTGACTCTTGCCTCCTCTGGTTGTCTTTCAGTCATCAAGGAAATTTTTTCCCATCACATTCTTTGGCTCCATCACCTGGATCGCAGCCTTCTCTTATTTGATGGTCTGGTGGGCGCATCAGGTAAGACCTGGACAGCAATACCCATCTGCTTTATGTCCTCTCAGTCTTGGTTGCCACTTGGTTCATCAATGTGTTTGCTTTCTGAAACTGTCACAACAATATTGAGTGTGACACAGACAAGTTAAACATGGCAGGACTGAACTTTCCCTAGTCTCTGGACCTTTTCCTGTGGCCTAGAATCAAATTGGTATAGCCACTAGAAAGCCACATGAAGGAAGGCAAGCCTGAATGGGCTTCCTGCCGGAGGTCAGGCCAACCCAGGGCTGAGAGGAAGGTCACATTATACCTGACTCATGGTATTTATCTTGGGCAAGCCACTCAGCATGGCTCTCACCAGCTTTTCACAGCTGACTCTCAAGAAAGGACCTAGAGACTAAATGGCTTCCTTGGGCTTCAGCTAATAAAAAATAATATTTTTCAATGTTATCACTTTAAGCTCAGTGCAGTTGCAATGCTTATTACAAAATATGACCTCAGTAACTGTAGTTGAAAAACATGAATGAAAGAATAAAATACAAGGTTTCACATTCTTGAAGACCATTATTATATGATATGCTATAAGATGGGCAATTCACATCTCTTTGTCTTTATAATCTTTTTTTTTATTTTTTTGAGTTGTAGATGAACACACTACCTTTATTCTTCTGTGGTGCTAGGATCGAACCCAGTGCCTCACAGGTGCTAGGCAAGTGCTTTACCACTGAGCTACATCCCCAGCCCCAGTCTTTATAATCTTGACATTAACCCGTACACAGGTTCAAATCCTATGAAGGAGGTATTATTACTATATACACTGTACAGGTAAATGAGTTAAATTTAAAACTGATAAGAAAATTGGCCAAGGTCACATAGAGAGTAAATAGCAGTACTGAGATTCTAACCCAAGACACTCCAGAATTCATCCTTTTAATCTTGACTATATACTACATAAATTCCAAACTGCCCATTTATATTCTTTGCTTAATATAGTCTTAGAATTGTTAACATAAAATAAAACAGCAATTTGAAATAAAATGTGCCAAGAACATATATGACTAGACTCTTTTAACAAGTGGCACTGGAAAAATCTGATTTCCATGCACCAAAATTAATTGACTTTTATCCTTACCTCATATCATATGCAAATAGATCATGGTTCTAAGTGTAAAAGCAAAAACTATCAAATGTTTAGAAGAAAACATAGAAAATCTTCATGACCTGATTTGATCCATCCCTGTGACCATCCCTGTGACCTTCATCTTTCCTCTGGCTCTTCATAAGTCAGCTTCAGTGATGGGTACCCCAAACATGCTTATGAAGAACAATTCTTGCCAGGCAAACACCTATAATCCCAGCGGCTCAGGAGGCTGAAACAGGAGGATGGAGAGTTTGAAGCCAGCCTCAGCAATGGCGAGGTGCTAAGCAACTCAGTGAGACCCTGTCTCCAAATAAAATACAAAATAGGGCTGGGGACGTGGCTCAGTGGCTGAGTGCCCCTGAGTTCAATCCCCAGTGCCCCTAAAAAAAAATAGTTCTTCAGTGAAATTAGTTCTAGGGGTTTAATGTATAATGAAAATTCTTATTTGTTAAGAAAATGTCATTATTCACGTGACTTCACACACTGTGGCTGACCCCAGTAAACTAGCTCTTGTCCATGCTGGGAGAACCCTGATAGCTAGTCTCATAATTTGGAGAGTAAAATAAGTAATGTCTGAGTTATACTAGCTGATATTCATTGATCATTTACTTTATGCCTGACACCATATTGTTTACTTTGTAAGCATTATCACGCATAACCATCATAACAACTCTGAGTGATGCTATTAACACCATGTTACAGATGAAAAAAACTGAGACCAAGAGAAGGTGGCTCCTGTGCCCTAGAATTACAGTCTAAAATATGCACCCAGGACTTTCTCTGTCCCAGCATACTCCTCATCGATTTCTGGCCCTTCCTATCTATATTAGCACTCAAACTCCAAATATCAATGGTTTTTGAAGCCATCCCTGCTTTAGAATTCTCCCTAAGAATTTAAATTAAAATGTTAAATAAATTAGACCTTTCTTAGTACATCAGTCATTTAGTCAGCATCTTCATAGTCTTTGACATTTCACTCTGATTATAACAAAAATAAGACATCAAGGAGAACATTTTGCTCAAATAAGGTACTCTTGTGCAAAATTTTTATTTAACTTTTTCTAAAAGATTCAGTGGGGAAACGTGCTATGGAAATAACCTTCATATGTGAATTGATTTGTTCATTTAGCAAACAAGTCTTCGGAGCCTACTATTTACCAGGCTGTGCTCTATAAATTAGGGACATAGAGCCCAAGGATCCTATTGGCAAGGACCTTACTTTCTAATGGGAAGCAGTAAGTCTGTGTGCCACAAGTATATAGTAAACTAAGGCAGCTCACCAGTTTCTGAGCAGGCATGACCATTAAAATAAATAAAGCTCCCAACTATGCTTTTAAGCTAATAGGAGCCAAGAAGTTACTTATAAATGAAAAAAAGGAGATTCAGAAGTAAGTATTCTATGTATGTAGGGAAATCAGCTGAGACCAGATAAGAGCTAACTTTCTAACTAAATTAGAGATTGAACCCATGTCTATAAAGTGTTTTAATAACAAAAATTATTGTTGGGTTGCTAAAGGTAACTGACTTGCTATGGCTGGGAAAGCATAATGCAGTGAGACAGAAAAGCATATTTGGCACTAATTTTGTCTGGGGTGTACGTACCTAGCATATATTTCAAACCCCAGAGATGGTGTTCAAAATTCAATGACTATAAATTTCTGGACACATATTTTTAAAAGAGGCCATGTAAAAGAACTAGAAGCATTCTCATTGCACAGGTCAAGAAGCCAGAAGTAAGAGGTTTTGTGATTTTCCGCAAGTTACACAATTAGGAGTGCTAGAATTAAACACAGGTTTCATTTGTTATGGTTTGGATATGCAGTGTCCCCCAAGAACACTTGCATGAGACAATGCAAGAATGTTGAGAGGTGATAGACTATGAGAATTGGAACCTAAGCAATGGATGAATCCACTTGAATGGATTAACTGGGTGGTAATCATAGACAGGTAGGGTGTAGCTGGAAGAAATCGGTCACTGGGGGCATGACTTTGGGGTTTATATTTTGACCTTAGTGAGCAGAGCTCTCTCTGCTTTCTCACTGTCACATCCTGAGCTGCTTTCCTCTGCCATACCTTTCGGCCACAATATTCTCCATCACTTTGGGTGCAGAGCTATGGAATCAGCTGACCTTGAACAAAAACTCTGAAATTGTGAGCCAAAATAAACTTGAAAATTAAAAAAAAAATAGAAGAAGTGAGTATTCTAGTCCCTGAAGACCTTTATCATTATCCTTAAACTATTTCAAAAAACTCTAGATGTCATCAAGTAGACTGCTGGAGCCCAAATGGAAAGCATTATGTAGATTTTCAGAACTGCAACTCGTCAACACCAGAAAATACTTTCAATATTTTTATAAGTCCCAACAAGACAAGTTGCTCAAAAGAATGGAAGAGCTTCTGAGGCTATAACAACCCTCCCAACAGAAATATCAGTCTTAAAAGACAAAGACCATAAGAAAATGTAATTGCTGTGAACTCCATTTTACTTTTTGATAGTGATGTACTGCTTATGAAGGGATTTTCCACAGATTATCATTCAGTTCCCACAAACCCCTTGTTAAGGCAGATATTACCAACCCCACTTTATGGGTAAGAAAGCAAGAAAGGAAGACACTGTACAATGAAACAGTTAGCAGTGGATTAAGCACTTAACAGATACCAAACCAGACCTTGGGCCAAGGTCCTCTGATTCCTTGGCTGTTGCCTCTACTCAGCAGCTTTGCTTTTTCATATTACCAAACCTGAACGCACGCCAAATCAATTTTCCTGTGGAAATGGTGGAATCCAAAAATGTTTGAGTGGTACAGACAATAAGAGATATTAAAGGAAAACAAATGGAACACTGAGTGTCTGTCCCTAATCTTTGATGGTAAATTGAAGGGCACATTCCAGGACTTGGTGCTGTTTGCCCCTGGGTTCAATAGTCTAGTTGGCTTGTATAATTCAAATCTTGCAGAATCCCTGCCTTGGTTTTAGGAAACACCATATGGTGGCTGCACTCAAGCCCTCTGTGGCTCTTTTTTATTTGAGATTATCTGCTTAATCTTCACGTAAATTGCTGATCTCTTGGGTCTGAATGTCATAAAAATATAAACTCCTCTATGGCAATAGATTGTAGTTCATTCATCTTTGTTATCTCAGTCCTCAGCACAACACAGAGAAGAAACTCATTGAAAGGGGTTGTGGTGAATGTTTGTGGTTAGGATGGTTTTGTGACTTGCAACACTTACGTTTTCCCCTGTCCTGATATATAGGTTGGAGAGACCATCGGCATTAGTGAAGAGATTATGGGTCTGACCATCCTGGCTGCTGGGACCTCCATCCCTGATCTTATCACCAGTGTCATCGTGGCTCGGAAGGGGCTAGGAGACATGGCTGTGTCCAGCTCTGTTGGAAGTAATATTTTTGACATCACCGTAGGGTAAGTGAGAGCTACATAAAAGTACATACCATCTCCATCACTGGCTTTGTCTTCCAAGAGTCTGTAAAGATATGACCAGGCTCTCTGAGCCCAAAATTCAGCAGTACCAACAGAAAACAAAGGCTTGGGAGGACCATTCAGTTTCACCAACTCTATTTTTCAGAGAACTTAATGAAGAGTAAGGCATCCTAGATAAGCAGAAACACATACCTGCATTTAGAATTAATGTTTTAGAAAATATTTTAGGAGAATTCCACTTATTTAACTGCACTCACCACATATTATGAATCTTCAGAATTCAGACAAGACTTCGATGCTCTGATAGTTTCACGGTGGTTTTGTTCCATATTCTAGTTAATATCCCTGACCAGCCTCAGGCAAGATTTGGATTTTAAGACAGATTGGGATGAGCAGAGACAGCACAAACATCCCATTTCCTCGGAAAATGTTGGCAGCCTTGATGTTTTCATTGGTTTACCTGTGCCCGTGATGATAGTCTAGGTTTTTTGGAAGTAGGAAAATGAGGGTTTTTTTCCCTTACAATTAAGTGCACTGGAGTTCTAGGTATGAATAATCTCTATAGTAAGCCAAATTGAGAGGAGTGATATTATCTCTCCCATCACATTAACTTGTCAAAAGTAAAAGTAGGCTCACTCATGACCCTCATGAATGGCAGTCCCCCGAGAAAGAAAGACACAGGATTTTATCCTTGTGTTCCCAGAAGAGCAGGGCTCTTAACACTTGAGTTTGGAAATCCAATGAAATGCATCTATGTTCTCTTTAAGTATCTTGAATATTGTTGTCTTCTACCTTTTCATTACCAAACACATATTTATCATTTTTCATACAATGTTCACCATGTATACTGTACATACATTTTTTTCCATTTAAGACAATGATCATGGAGTTATATATTAGCATCCCCATTCCTCAGATATGGATACTGAAAGGCACAGAGTTCACACAACTGGTAAATGCAGTAGCTGGGATTTGAGGGGGAAAATCAATACTGTCAACCACACTGTCTGTGCATAAAACCCCACCCTGGGTTTCCACTGTCTGAAACTCCAGTGAGTCCCAATGTGCCCTCTCCTGTTAAATTTCCCTCGTCTGCCCACCCTGCTTCTCTGCCTGGAAAGCTCTCTTAACCTTTCCAGTATCAGCTCAAATCCTGATTTCTCTAATCCCTGTGGGTCTGAGCTAGGGCTCTTACTCCCATAGACCCTCCGCACATCGTACTGTTGTCAGGTCCTGTCTGCCCACAAGCCTACGGACTTCCCAAGGGCAAGCACTCACCAAAGCCTAGCACATCGCCGACTGCATGGTAGTGGCTTAACAAATGCTTGTGGAATGGACAGAAGGACTGACAGATGGATGCCTTCAAAGTTACATGCCTTAAAGGAAATTATCCTAATGTAAAGAATACCTCTTTGCTCTGTTGGCTACACATTCAGAATAGCCTTTTTGTCAATGTTTGTCTAAAAAAAAAAAATAAAAGGAAGGAGAGAAAGAGAAAGTTCTTTGTAGTGTAAAAAGAAAATCCTATAAGCTAAGAAAAGTTATGTATTCAGTTAGCATCTTTGCCATGTGTTTGAAAAATAACTATTCTAGTAAAGTTGTAAGACACTCCTTGTTCATTGGTCTAAAATTACATATAGATCATGACAACAAATGAGAGTCCAAAGAAAAATATCACCTAACCTACTAAAACACAGTTCATTTTTTTAATGTTCTTTCAAATATTTTGGTTTTCTTAGTGAAAACCAGTTTTTCTTAGTGAAAGTCAGTTTTGTCCTCCTATAGGGCTTTTATTTTTTTCATCCGAAGCCATGTGTACATACCAAAAAGAGGCATTTATTACTAAAAATTAGTAAATCACATGACTCATTTTCTAAGTGTTTTTAGACCTCCAAATATTCCATCCTGTTGCTTTTCAGCTTAACCATTATCCTTTAAAATAATCTTTTTATCTTTTTTTAGATTTTTTGTTATGCAGAAAATCTCTCTTTTAATTATTTTATTAGGATAAATTCCTTTAAGCCATATAATGGATTAAATATTTTTAACATTAAAATGACTATGATATATTTTATATATTTCTTTTCCAAAAGCTTCTTTCCTAAGGTTTATACCAATGTATGTCATTGCCAATATATTAAGTGATGTCATTAGCAAAAACATTGAGTGTAAAAGTTTCTGCATAGTATTGCCTGCATTTTCTATTTGCTCATAGAATAATGCATAAAGGATTTAGATATAAAGATCAGTGGAAATTCACCGACATTTTAAAATGTGTATATTTTATGCAAATAAAATTGCATTGCTATTTTTATGTAAATCTTTCATTCTAAATTTAAATTACACATAAGATTCTGAGTTTGATTGCTAGCACTGCAATTAATAAGTAAAACCTAAATTTAAAGTTATTTCATGAATATTTTCTATATCACTATAAACTTGTGATTTTAAATAGCCATATAATATTACATTGACTTACATTGATTTACTATTTGGCTAGTTTCCCATTGGAAGTTTTAAGATGATATCCTCAATTTCTTACTACTCAAATAACACTGAAATGATCATTTTTCTGAATCAAGTTGTATCTGCTTTTCAAATTATTATGAAAAATGCCATTTTCCCTTAAAGGGTGTTTACAAACTATTTATTGTGCTGTCAGCTCAACTTCATCAGAACTGGATGCCTCTGTGTGTGTGTGTGTGTGTGTGTGTATTTAAACATACATGTGTTTGTCTAGTGTGTTAGTCAACTTTCTGTCACTGTGAAAAATACCTAAGGTAATCAACTTAAAAGGAAGAAAGGTTTATTTTGTCCAACAGTTTTAGAGGTTTCAGTCCATGGTCTCTGTTGCTTGAGCCTGTAGCTACATGATTATGATATTCATTGGTCGGGAAACAAAAAGAAAAAGAGGGAAGGACTGGGTCCTCATATCCCCTTCAAGGGCCCACCCCGCCATGGTCTAAAACCCTTCTACAAGGTCCCTCCTCCTAAGGTTCCACCACCTCCCCCTAGTGTCATAGGCTTGGGAGCAAGCTTTCAACACAAGTGCTTTGGGGGTATAATTCAAGATTCAAACTACAACATCTGGTTTAATAAGAGTAAAATGGTTTGGGGTCTTTCTCTTTAAAAGGCATGGGAAATGTGGAAGAAGAACTCACCAGGGTGAGTTCACCAACATTGTCAGGCCCTCCCTCCCAGTTTCTGACTTTCCATTGCTGAACCCAGGATACCAAGACTGTCCTCTCCTGCCAAGTACTGGAATTTCACCTGGTTCCAGGCTGCCCCTGGGGAACCTCAACCCAACATGGTTCACTGAAGTGAGCACTCCTTGCCAGAGAAAAGTGCCTGTACTAATCACCACCAGGCCATCACATCAATCACTTCAGCATTACCCTGCTTAAGATATGCACCCAGGTGGGGGCCAGCTAGTGTCAAGCCCTGGTGATTCAAAGATGCAGTGCTTGGGCTCTGCTCTTACACACTCTCCAGCAGAAGAGGCAGATGCATAATTTGCATTTTCACCCTCACTATTTCTCTCACAAACTATTTGCTTTTTCTTTGGAGCACTTCATGTTTCAAAAGGGCAGCTCCTCTTCCATACCCCTGAGACCAGGTCAAAACTCAACTTTCTTTGGCCATACAGAAGGTACAGCCAGCTGAGTCAGTTTCTCCCCAGCCAACATTCCATCATTACTCTCAATGGGAAGAACCAGCTGCATTTCACCCAGCCACCTGCAGATACCCAGGCCACTTGGGTCTGATATTTTCAGCCATGTTCCCCTCCCAGAGAGTCCTACCATCAACAACCATAATTCCTAGCAATTGGTTTTCCTGATGTGTTTTAGAATCACCACTCAGGAAGGGAAACAAAAGATGTTATCAGATTTTAAAAATCAAATGTAAAGGTAGAAAACAGGTTTAGAAATACACAATAAAGTTTTTTAAACTTTATAAATGTAAGATAATTATATTCTTCAGATTTTTCAGAAAGACCATTTTTTTTAATATTTATTTTTTAGTTTTCGGTGGATCTTTGTTTGTATGTGGTGCTGAGGATCGAACCCGGGGCCGCACACATGCCAGGCAAGCGCACTACGGCTTGAGCCACATCCCCAGCCCGAAAGACCATTTTTTAAATCAAAAAGAATATCAGTATCTTTTCCAGGATAAACTTTAGAATTCTATATATACCCTATCATAGCCCCCACCATCATCATGGTTTTTTGTTGTTATTGTTTTGGTTTTTGTTTTTTATTGTTGTTATTTGGTTGGGTTTTGGTACCAGGGATTGAACCAGGGGTGTTTACCCACTGAGCCACATCTCCAGCCATTTTTATTTTTTATTTTGAGACAGGGTCTCGCTAAATTGCTTAGGGCCTCACTAAGTTGCTGAGGCTGGCTTTGAACTTGCAACCCTCCTGCCTGAAGCTTTGGGATTACAGGTGTGCACCACCACGCCCAGCATCATGTAATTTTACTTGCTTTTAAATTGTTAAGTCATTGTTATTCTTTATCTCCATTTTTTAAAAATAATGTTTTCCATTTTTTACCATCAATTTCTGTGCCTTCTCTACATTTGTTGCCTTCTCCCCTCACCCTGTACAAATCCTCCAGTTCACCTTTTTATGGCTGAGAGCAAAATTTTACTCTTCATTAGGAAGAAAACAAAAAAAATTTCAAATCAAATTCAGAAAACACCTACAAGAATCATGCCTTTGATATTGCTTCACTGTAGGACCAATCTCTGGTCTCCCTAATTTGATCAGGAAATAGATAAACATTTTCAAAGTTCACCTGATTTCCTTATGTGATCTCATGACACTCTTTTCAGGGGTAGATTTATCCATGAGCACCTTCTCAACATGCCTGACTGCCTGCTCTCCCCTGCTCTTCCTTTCTTCCTCCCAGGCTCCCACTGCCCTGGCTCCTGTACACCGTCATTCACAGATTCCAGCCAGTGGCTGTCAGCAGCAATGGCCTCTTCTGCGCCATTGTCCTCCTCTTCATCATGCTGCTCTTCGTCATTCTCTCCATTGCCCTCTGCAAATGGCGGATGAACAAAGTGCTGGGCTTCATCATGTTTGGCCTCTACTTCGTGTTCCTGGTGATCAGCGTCCTCCTAGAAGACAGAATTCTGATGTGTCCCGTCTCCATCTAGCGGAAAAGCCATATCGTGGACCAACAGCGTGGATGGTCCCTTCCTGCTCTGGGCTCTAGGCTCCTTGGCCTCCTGAGAAGAGGCAGCTGGCACACAGCCCCAGCCAAGTGTCCCTCCTTGGTGGATTGGAGGAGGGATGGATTCACATGGGACCCTTCACTTCACAGGCTCTTCACCCTTGCCTACAGAAATGACTCCACGTAAGAGACAAAAAGAACCGTGACCATGGGGCATCCCTCCATTCACCACTGACAGGTACTCCTCGCTGGCCGGAGGTACATTCGTTGTAAGGAAGCAAACAAGGACAGAGGCTATATATACACCTATAAAGTATACATATTATAAATATACACACACGAGCACACAAATCCTGCCTGATCCTGTATTATTCCTCTCTTTGCATACCTATAGATTAATACATAACTGTACACAAACACAAAGAAAGAAAAATTATATAAATATATATATATATATATACAGAGTCATATATATATATACATGTAAGTATAAATGCATCTTTTCAGGGATAGCTCTAGTATATTTATAGTACCTTTTTGAAGAGGGGCATCAACCTTCAACCTTCAGTCTGGACTTTACCTCTAGGTGCAAGAGGTGATCTAATGGAATCCACAGACAAAGGTGGTGTTGCTGTCACCTTCAGCCTATGTTCGATTTACCGGGATCCTGCCTAACAAGGTGGATGGTTTAGGAAAATTGCTTGTAGGGAGGAGGACTTAGCAGAGAGAGTCTGGAGGAGCATCGAGTTGAGCCCTCCAAACCATTGCACTAATCATACAGGGAAGACTGTTCTGCATACCCATACTGAGTACTTAAGACCGACAGAGATAAAACCAAGACTGGGTGAATACTGGTTTGGGGACAGGAGGGAGGTGACTAGGGTTGGGTTGTTTTGTTTTGTTGTTTTCTGATATTGCCCCAGCATGCAAGTAGAAAATATGACTGCAGACCAAATTAGTGCTTTTCTAGGACAGCAAAACTATATAAACTGAACTTATATTGTTCCAATGCATGTCCCATTATCATCGAAAGAAGGAGGGCAGTTTTAGCTGTGATTACCATTTAGACATATTTTGATGCTAAGGGCTCACATATAAGTCAAACACCTGCCAGGAGAGCCTTGATGTGTGATAAGAAACCCCATCCAGTAGAGGTGCTCAGTGGGATTTGCCACCTAATGGGAATGTAAGGGCATCATGGCTCCTTAAATCATTGTCCAATGTGATCATAAAGGGCTTCAGTGTCTAAGAATCATTATTCCCAATAGATCTAAATCAACTCTGATCAACACTACTTGGCTGGAGGCAGCTTTGAGATGTTTGCAAAGGCATTTGCACACTTGGTGCACCCCAGGTAGATTTCTGGGTCCTATTTCAAGGATTTGGTTAAAGCCTGTGCAATGTCCATGTCTCTCCTCCCATCAGGACCCCAGATGGGACTTTTTCTAGTTTTTAAAGTACACTGAAGACTATATTCCAAAGTTTCTTTGTGCTGGCTTCAACCCGGTCACCTCAAGTTTTTATTTTCTGATTTTGCTCAACTTTACATGGAATTTTTTTCATTTTGTTTATTCAATGCCCCCAAGTTCTATTTGCCACCTTGTATGATTTCTCAAGTTTATTTCAGTAGAAAATAAGACTAGTGGGGGGGATGGGGTTAAACTAAATTGATGAAAAAATATGTAGAATCTGTCATTTCCCCAAGTTGTGATTTCCTTAAAATCATTTGCAAAAGTAAACAGAGGATGGTCCATTATTCTGTGCCCAGCCTATATGAAAGTCGACAACATCATACATGGGGCTCTTCACCACACATGTTCATGTCTTCAGCTTGTGATGTGCCTGAGGCCTGCTCTGATTGTGTTGTGTTGACATAGGAAGATAGGATGCAGAACACATAGTTGAAGATAAAGGTCAAGTGACCTGAGAGTGCAGGCAAGGTCAGTCCTTTCTCCCCCAAAACCTTAGCTCACTCTGTAAAGCATCAGCAAGCAGTACCCATCATGGCTTTTCCCCCACAAGTAATAAGTACTGAAAAATGAAGCCCCCCTAAGAAAACAAGAATTCAAGGTGACTGCCCCCCAGGCTTGTTTTCAGATCTCTCCAGCTTTGCAAAGTGGAGTTTTCTAATGTGTGAAGGAAACCTGCATCTTGTTCAAGGGCAGGACTTTGTACTTAGAGTGAAAGAGAATGAGGAAGTAATTTTTCTTGTGTGTTACTTGACGGGAGCATAGGTGGTTATTGTGTGAATTCTGTACTATTGACCAATTTGTTGTTTGAAAGGCTTAAATAGGTGACCTTGACAAAATGACAGGTAGAATATACAAAATAAGAAAGGTTGCAGGAGGTCAGGTATAGCCCTGCTCTTATTCCAGTACTTCCTGATCCTTCCCTTCCTCCTCACTCTTCCCATTCATTCCCAGGTCACAGTGAAGACTTGTCCAAGCAACCAGGAAATACTTTACTCACCTAAGAGTTGGGAATGCACTTTACAGGGAGTATTGTAGTTTTTAATGAAAAGTTGCTTTTGAGAAGACAACATTTCCAAGCCTGGTTCCCACCTCAATGGCGTGTGCTGGGCATGACTATGACAGCAGTGTCCCCCTAAGTGGCACACAGGCACCTTCCAGTGCTTGCCCTGGCTTTCTCTTCATTGCTGCATCTGTGAATAAGTGGTTATATGTTGGCCTACACTCATTCACATAATTAGAAGAAAACTTTCCACATTATGATTTCCAGAGTAGGTCATCTCTAGCCCCTTTTCTGTATGCCTCTGTGTGTGTATGCATATGCATGAATGTGTGTGTGTGTGTGAGAGAGAGAGAGAGAGAGAGAGAGAGAGAGAGAGAGAGAGACCCAATCACATTAGAATTCAAAAGCAAGGAGTATCGAGTTTGCCAAAGTCAAAGTCAAAGAAAAGTACAGTCCCAACCAAAGGGAGCATTTCTTCCTGATCTCATAAGATGGTTTTCTTCTATGCATATATACATATAAACATACACATAAGCACCTGTATTTCCCCACCCCCAGAATATAGATGTTTCAGCCTTAAGAAACTGCCCAGTCTTATTCTTCCACCTTTGTTTTTTCTAGTACTGGGGATCAAGCCCAGAGCCTCTCATGCAGATACTCTACCATTTGAGCTATAGCCCCAGCCCTAGCCATATCTTTAATGCTGACATAGAAGCAAAGAATATACAACAGGAAGCACAGAAGAAAATGTTAGACTGCAGTACTCTCTTTGCTTCTTTGGAGCAGAGTATAAAATAGTATCCAAAGTTCAAGCCAACATTTTACTACTTGATTTAAAATAAATGAGTTGCACCCAAATGGTTCCATTTGGTTCATAGCACACCAAGCAGGTCTTGCTTGCTGTCACCTTCCCAATAGCCCTAGGCAGCCGAGAAGAACCCAGCAACTTGCATCAAACCAAAAGTTCAAAAACAGAAACTTCTGAATTGCATTTGACTATGCACATGACATATCCAGCTGCCCTCTGGACCTGACCAGTTCCTAGGGAACTGAAACACAAGATTAAACAGTGTCACTCAGAACCTAAACTGAGTCAGGCAATGACAGATGGGGAAGACAGAACACATGCACAGGGACCATCCAGTAGGATTGTTTATTAGCTCAGAAGATACAGAAGAATATCTTAAATCCTTGCTCAAAAGATCATAAAGAGAAGCAGGCGTTGTTTAATATTCAGAAAAAAAAAATGTTTTGTGAGGCATCACCTGACAGAGGCTATTATAATATCTTTTATACAGGAGACACAAATCAGGTGATTTGGAGCCATTTCAGTAAAACACAGCTGTCTCAGTGATTAGCCTTTTGATAATGCTAACATACACCCATCCCTGGGTAGACAGAGAGTTGGCAAACTCCTCAGCATTGTTCCCGTCTTTTAAATGCCTCTAAAACAGTGAGATTCTTATAAAGGGAAGCCCACCATCCCAGACCACCTTAACAGAAAGTTGATCAAGGAAAAGACAACCTTTAGAGCTGCTGGCCAGATAGTGTTGAAGAAAATAGGACTTGAGTTAAATGCTCTGTTGAAATTTCTACATTGAAAGTGTCTGTCATGGATCTGATGGCCTGTCTGAATGCAAACATTTCAGAAAATTCTAGTATGCTTTCTTCCCCGCATACACACACAAACATACACACACAGACACACACACACACACACACTATTACGTGGATGGTATGCTTCCTTGACCCCAGACAGATTGTTACTTTAATAAATAAGTGGTCATATCACCGGTGGCAGCTCTGTTCCAGAAAATAAATAAATAAATAAATAAATAAATAAATAAATAAAAGCTGTTCTTAGGGTGATTTCTGAGAAAGTGTGCTATAGAAGCTAATCCAGATCTTACATAACCACATGGCTTTTTAAAAGATACATCCTCAATCCCTATACAATATCATCTTCAATCAGCCGTAAGGCATTGGCAATGAGGTAGTTGGTTATCATATATAAGTTACACACACACACACACACACACACACTCACACGGGAGAAAGGAGAAATTAATCTACTTTTACTAGAATTCCTAAGAAAGAAAGCATCGCATTGAAACACATCCTTATGTGGTTTAAAATAACAAATATCAGGCTTTTTAAACAATTACAAGAGCCCTTATGTATACACAATTCTAGATTTTTTTAATCCCTTCTCAAGATGCCTTGGGAGAAGAAAGGTAATTGTATTTCTGATCCACTGTCCATTTAAGTTTAGCTCCTGTCTCTGTATCTTTGTGTTTTCTTTTTAATTTTGCAGGCTCATATTCTTTAAAATATATAGCAAACAGAAAAAGCAATAAAGGAAATACAGCCAGCTCAACTCCATTACTTCTTACTATACCATTGCAATATTTCTTTCGCCTCCCCAGGCGCTTTGGAAGTGCACAGGCTGCAATGCCTAATCAACAGGAGAACAGAGACCTACAAAAGCTATAGATGTGCTCCTGTTGGCTACAAACAGAAATAATGTGTTTTCCCCTTTTCCCAAAACAACTTGAGCACAGCCATTGTAGTTTCCTTCCTCACATGTGGATCATCAGCCTTGCTCCATACCACCTAGATTCCCAGAGGTCTCTAATCTGGTTAGTGACTTTTCTTAAGAAAGAGTGAGAGAGAGCCACAAAGAAGAAAAGAATCCATTACTCAGCCATGTTTAGAAAGACCAAGGTGGCCTTGCAATTCTGATAGGCTAGGTACTAAGTTCAAACTAGTGTACGAATGGTGAGTGACTGTATGGAGCACCATATGATCTGAGCCAATGCTCTTTCACTAAATGTTTGACAGACTGGAAAACCTAAAAGAGTTTATTTTTAAGCAGATAAATAAGTCTGAAAGAGTGCCATGGAGTTTGCACAGGCTCACACCAAAGATTTAATTCCATTTAAGAGAGTTTGTTCAGCCTATTGGCGTGACCCAAAGGACAGCAACCCCCCTACACAGACTCACACAGACCCCTAAGGGATCCTAGTAGAGATGTTCCTGGTGTGACCAAGCTCAATGTTAACAACCTTCAGTGTCAGAAAAGTCTCCTTCCAGGTTAACCCCGGCCCCTACAATTGATGACTTCATTTAGTTTTCTTTCTGGGAGAAAACTGCATATGGGAATTCTGCATTCTTTACCCCTGACATATTTGGAAGTCACCACTATGTGACCCTTTACCTCTTTTCATCAGAAGTCTCCTGAGTTTGATATTTCAGAGTCTTTTCAAAATGCTCTTAATCATTCCCACTTCATCTTTACTAAGACATTTTAAATGCTTTATATTGCTCTTGGATTATGGTACCTTATGACTAATCATGACATGAGTATAAGTCTGAACAGTGCTGACTTCCAGCCTGGAACTCAATGCCTTGCTCCCTTGTTATGCACACTCTGTTGTTCTTCCCTTTTAAAAAGTCATTCTTCATCGCTATTTCACATTAATCTTGTGTTCTCTGTGGCCTCCTATCTCTCTTCTGAGACATTTAGATGAAGCCAGTGGCATTTTTCAGCTTGCCCAAAGCATTTGCACAGGCCTTTGCCTACTGTGAGAGTCTCTAGTTGGCCTTATTAAGGTCTCAGCCTGCTTATTTCTAACCCCACTTTCAATTCTGAAGTCCAGGTTGGACACAGTGTTTATATCCCTGCAAGATTCTTACTACCAGCCTCCCAGTGCGCTTATGCCTGGCAAATTGGGCATTTTCTCCTCCTCCTCCACTTCATTGATAGGAAGATTCAAAAATGCTAGACCTCTGCTCCCAACCTTTTTTTCACATAATTGACTACTTGCTGGGGGGGGGGGGAAATCCTTTCTAATTGCTACTAAAATATGGATAGAATCCGCAACCACAGGAGAAGAGAGCAGTAAAAATAACTGTAGAGCACCAGAGAGTCTTGCTTACCACAAGCACAATAGGCAGTGGTTCTCCAGGGACTAGTCTGAGCACTGGGCATAGCTTACAAACTCTGCTTTCAAGCCCACAATCCCACACTCACAAAGAACTCAGCATAGGAGAGAGACCACTCAAGATTCCAAAACTCTGGGCTTGTGTTTACCTGCTTTGATTTTACAAGAGGAGTTAAAATTTTCATTCTAAATACTAAGTCAGAGCTTATCCACCTGTACTGCAGTGAGCCTACTTTCTCGTGTGGTAGAATGGATAAGAACTGTAAGGTCACTGATTGGTGTCCTGGCCTAGAAAAATGGTCTACAATTCACTGTAAGAATGGGACTATACTCCTGCAGTCTTATATTTTGGGTTGTGTATTTCTTCATAATGGATATATAAGTTACTAAGGCCTTGGGGATCAATGGTTCTCTCAAACTCTCAGCTAACCAAAAGAGAATGCTAATTTTCTAAAATAATGTCACATACACACACACACACACACACAAAAAAGAATAGAAAAGAAAAAAGTGAAATAAGTCTAAATCCCTGAATAATATAATTTAAAGAATGAAATTGCATGCACGAATTAAGAGTAGATAATCCTTTGCCATTTAATTAAACAAATCTCCAATTCTTCTCATCAGGATAAAACTGAAGGACAATGGATGCCTTTTGGGTTTTTTAATTTTTTTAATATTGCACTTTATGGTACTTCATAAGAGACAATTGTCTTAATTAAAGCCATAAAATAACAATAATACATATATTCAGGGCTTCTGAATATAGGCAATCAATAAGCAGTCCACGAGTCATTCCTGTTTTGTATTGTTTGTTGTAAATTGGAGTTTACCTGTTCTATTTTTTATTACCTACAATTATTGTTCTAGACAATTCTACTACTAAATTTTAAATATGTACTTTAATATAACTGTTAGAAAATCAAAGAAATTATTTATTTCACAGAAGCATTCTTCATTTCCAAAATAGCTTATGACACAGTTCCTTTAAATAACAAGTTCTGATACTACATTGAAAATTCTTCCTTTAAAAAAAATTACAGATTAACTGTTTTTCAGGAATCCATTTGCTATGTAAAGCCAGGTTCCTCCATATGGAGAGTGAAATTGATAATTAGCAAACATACCTGGGAAATTTAGGATATGTTTGAATTTTTATATACTATAGGATGGATCTAAGAGGTTCCCTTATAAAAATGGCATAGAGATATACAACTTGTCAATAATTTCTTATGCCTGAATTAGGAAAATTCCTTGGAAGAACATATAAAGTAGCAGACTTCATAAGGCACTGGGTGGTTCCCCCCACCTTTCTACCAAAACACACAGTTTCTGACCTAACATGGTAGACTGTGTGCATACGTATATACACAGACGTCCTGCAACTAAAACTAAATTTTTTACTTCATCATTATATATTTTGAGTGAAAACTAAAATATGACCAAAAGGCACTTAACAGCCTGGAAATATCCACCACAATTGGGTACCTAAATTATCTACGTAGAGTAAATACGTGTGTTAAATTGGACAACCCCATCAACTTGATGCTTCCATGTCCACCTCTCCCTAAAGAAAGGGTGTGTGGATGCAGAGCCAGTGGTATTCCTCTGTTAGAGGCTGTTTTATGACCTGAAGAGTCTCTCTAAAGGACAGAGACTGTTGGTCCATAAGGTGGCATTTTGCCTCATTGAATCCTGCACACAGAGTCCATTTGAACCCTGCATCTAGCCTTGACTTTTCTTCTGCTTGAGTCTGAAAAAATCTCCACAAGCAATAGTTGCCATCTTCAAAGTGCAGACTTGAAAAGCAATGCATTGAAAGCAAGAGTAGCAGAAGCTACCAGTCTGAGTTAATGAAGTTGCTGCTAGAGGAAAAATAGAATATACTTTTGTTTTCAAGACAGAGAAAATGTTTTCAATGTTGATTCCAACACAGATATTTGCTCTAAAACTTGTAAACTGTCTTTGGACAAATTATAGTAAAAACATGAGAATGCATTCAAAATCTTCTCTTCTAGCTCTTTTCAGATATACAACATACTGTTGTCAACTATATTCACCCTACTGTGCAACAGAACACCAGGCTTACTACTCTGATTTGATCATCACACAACAATACATGAATCCAAACACTACAGTGTACTCCTAAGTACATACAACTATTTATGTCAATCAAAAGAATACATTTTTTTAAATATTGCCATGAATATTTGGAAAAGATTTAAAAACATACCAAATGCCATTTTTGTAAAGGATCTTTTTAGAAACAGACATGGTCTCATCTTCCTTTGTTTGCCTCCATTTAAAAAACATCTAAACTCCCTATCTTTACCCCTTCAAGAATCCAGTGGATACACTTCTAAACGATATTTGTCATTTTGTGTGTGTTGTGTTTATCATGAGCAATTTTCACTGGATGACAAGATATACAGCGATATTGTGTCAGTTTATTCTCTGTGAATATGTCTATACATAACTGAAAGCTATATTTATTTGTACATAGGCTGTTTGGAGGAATGTGTTTCTGTCACACAGACTGCACTTTGACAAAAGACATTCCTTCCTGTTCCACTGTCCACATCTTTGTGCTTCTACTACTGATAATCAACTTATAGAATATGACTTTATGTAACTAAGTCTCCTCAGTGTGAAAACAATAGTAATAAAATTCTCAACTCAAAAAAGAGTGTGGTTTTTTGGAGTAATCTTTACCTGAAGTCAATCAGGACCCTCCAGGTCTCAAGAAATAGATGTGCAGTGGTAGAAGTTTTAATGCAAAGGTTCAAGAGCACAGGAGGACACACAGACATTTCCATTAATTATAACTATCATTTATGGAGTGCCTACTAATGTCATTTGAGCTATTAATTGTCTCCAGGAACTTTATGAAAGGTCTACTCCAAGGCAATTTGATTTTAATTAGTTAAATATGTAGAAGCATAAATTCAAAAGACTAGTGTTGCCCTATCCTTTAAGGTCAATTTAGAAGTCTTATTATAAATCTAATATTTTGATATAAAAATAGAAATCCATGATCACTTTTTTCTTTGATTATGCTCAATCAACTGATAAGTTTTAAAGACTAAATTTAAATTTTAAAATTGAGTTAATGAAATTCCTTTAGGCACTTTTTAAATTGTACATATTTAACACCTGATTCTTTCAAACACTCCAGAAGTCTAATAGACTTACAATACTAAAAAGCAAAATCTTCCGAAGCATATAAGCAATTCCTATTAAATTAACAAAACAAACTTAAAATGTAGTAAAGTGGGTTTTCATAAACATTTTTAAAACATTTAAAAACAATATAAGCCTACTATTCCTTTAAAATTAATGAATCTCATAAATTGAACATTTCAAATTGTAGTCAAATCATCTAATATGCCAGATTTCTTTCAAACACCTTAAAATAAACACATATGTAGAATATACCAGTAATTTATAAACCACACCAAAGTATGCATACTATGAATTTGATTTTACTTCATTATCTCTACATTTCTATAACATGTTCCCATGCTTTAGAAAGTCACCCACCCAAGGAGCAGATTCCCATCTTGAGCCAAGTAACATGACTAAAGCTGAGTCACATTTCATTTTTTATTATAGAATCGAACTCAGGACATAACATATAGGCCAGGAGAATTCCACTAGAATCAAACGTGATCAGGTAGATCTGTTCAGTCCTTTCTGTCCAGTGACCTTGGCAGGAAAATGAGAAAAGGGTCTTTGCCAAGCCACGCTTGTGGTTTAATTTTGCAATCCAAGAGACATCATCACCATTACCATTACTAAAATCCCTTTCCAAAAAACCTTTTTTTTGAGATGGCATTGGGCAAGGAGTGGAATGGGAGTGGAAGTGGAAGCCTTGTTACCCAGGACAGTCTTGAACTCACAATCCTCCTGTCTCCGCTTCCCAAGTAGCTGAGTTTACAGGTGTGTACAACTAGACCTGGCTACCTTTCAAATTTTTGGCTCCTCATTTGGGCAGGTAAATTCTGCAGCCCTTTCTGGGTTATAGCCTTTTTTTTCTTTTCTATACCACTTGATTGTATTCAACTAATTTATTTATTGCCTGATTGGACTCTTCATTCTGTTCATAATTTTCTTTGTTCTGACCACATTTCCAAACATGTCATTGACAACTATGTGTTTGAACGAATGCTAAGTGCTTGGCATGCATCATATTATTTAATCCTCATAACAACTAAGTTGGGTACCATCATTGGGTATCTGTCTTACAGATAGAAATTTGAGACCCAAAGAAACTAAGTTACACATCCAAGGTCACACAATAAGTGTCAGAACTAAAGCCTGAGTCTTTCTGTTACCCAAGTTTGAGCTATTAATCATTACTTTTTACTTGATCATATTATATACATAATTACCCCACCCCACCCCCATGTTCCAGAATTCACAATTGCAAAGTGCCTGGCAACTAGACAAAGTACAGACACCAAAGTCAATCTAGTACCTTGCCTCTTTTCTTGGCTTTCCTAAACTTACATTTCTCAATAAACAGTGTGTGCACGCCAGCTGTATTTGGTTGAAGGGAGCTTGGTACCTCTATCACAGGATTTTTTAATCTTGGCACAACTCACATTTGGGGATGGAAAATTATTTATTGGTGGGTACTGTCCTGTGCATTACTGGTTTTTACCCACTCAGTACTACAGTTTCGACAAAGAAAATATGGTTCCAGATGTTGCCCAGTGTCCTCTGGGATTAGTGTGAGGATGGGCAAAATTTCCCCCAGTTGAGAACTGTTCAATCAGATAGAACTCAGCCCACTACTTCAGGATGGCTGTACTTTAACCGTACCTGCCTTGAAGCTTCTGCTGTAATCTTGTCAAATAGTCTATAGAGAAATCTCCCTCTCTCCCTCCCCTTCTCTCTCTCTCTCTCTCTCTCTCTCTCTCTCTCTCTCTCTCTCTCTCTTCATACAAACACACACACACATACACACACACACACACACACACACACACCCTCACCGAAATGCAACAAGTGAAGAGGTAAAAATTCAAACAAGAAAAAGGCATTTGGCATCATTTCCTCAAGGGATCTTGTGTGTGAACAGCAGACTTGACTGAAGCTTAAGCTCGGGAACACTCCCTCATATGGATGAAAAGGTTACCAACATAATCTAGGTTAAGAAGTCAGCCTCTAATGAGTCTCTGGATCTCTCCCTAGGCAAAGCCTTGCCGTTCTCTAAAGGAATTTCTACAAGTCACAATCATGGAAATCACCCATCCCCAAAGCCAGACTCTGAGGTGACCTCATTGATGAATGTTCTTTGGGGTAGTTCTGATAGCCAAGTTCTTCCTGGAGGAAGATTTTAACGTCTCTTTTGTTTTTTAAAAGTTTGAAATCTACACTCCTCTCATCTCTTTGCCTCCCCAAATTAATCCCACTTCTCAGAAAGGATTTATGTATCACTTCATATTTAGAGAAAAAGGTATAAATCATTTTGACTC